TAGGGAACATTTGGGGCAGTTCCTGGGAGGCATAACTGAACACTTGCATAACTATCTATAGTGAAACCAGAATTGCACAAATCCTCAAGCCAGCATGCCTTTCTGAGCAGCCTACACAGCAGCATTTCAGACACCACAGTCTCCTGTAAGCTGCTGTTAAGAGACATTTCTTTAGCTTAGGCCCTATCACTATGCTTTGGGAATTAAAACCTGGAGTATTTAACTCGATAACCCATTTAAGTACTGACATAACAATAATCAATCTCCTTTTTCAAGTGGGAATAGTGAACTATCAAATAAAGCTTTCAGAGTAAGATGTGTTTTTATCCTGATTTTGTTTGGAAACAAAACTAATGATATTTAATGTTACTTATCCATTCTACTTTCTATTCCCTCCCAAATACATTTTAACTAAATATGACATTGGGATTTCTTCTTCTGTGCTACCACAAGTTTTCCATAAAAATCAATGACCAAGAAGAACAAAGAAAATCCATTAACATTCTCACTGAAGCCAAGGTGGTGTTTACCAATTGCTGTAGTATCTTGGGAAGCAAGGCACCTTTGGCTGCTGTAAATCATTATCTGTTTTCACTGGCAGAAAGTATGTACTCAGAAAGCATACACTATGCTCAGGACCAGCCACAGCCCGTACAGACCTCAGTAAGCTGGTAAGGCAAAACAAGCTGAAGAGATCAGAATAGAGAAAGAGTACAGTCAGCACATAAAACATGTCAGAATATTGTGGTGATCTAGGTTAGCGACAGGATCACAGGAATCACCTTAGAGAATGGAGGAGAACTCAGATTAAGAAAAGCAGGAAAGGGCTAACAGAGACAGGTAAACAGCTTCATTATAGCTCTGATGCTCACTGGCCTATTACTGTTCAACTGTCAGCTTCCAAACCAAACTCAAATTGTCAGCTACTATGGTATTATCTGTTCTCACTTAGCCTTAACAGCTGGACTCTTTTAACTGAAGGAAGTACAGTGGTCATGACTAGTAACCTCTAAGTGCTGTGTATTTATCTATC